GACATTGGAAAAGTCGAGGAGTTGGCTGAGCATCACGGAGCCCAGATGAAGGCAGGTTGAGCAGGTCACCTAGGCCTTCTGGCTCCCTCCCTCTTCCCGCTGCCCCGCCCTGCAAGGCTGGTCCCCTGACACATGGCTTCCTATGCTCTATCCAGAGGACAGCAGCTCCCAAAAAGCCCTTCTGGGGATTGCCACTGACAAGTAATCAGTAACTTCAGGGCTGGACCTGACCTCCATACTCTGGTGAAACCACATCCTCGTGAAGGACTGCAGAACCTGAGAAAATTTTGTCCTTTGAGCTGGTTTCCCAACGCCCACAGGTGGGTGGAGGAAGTCTTTTCACTTCTTAAGAGGACCTACTGTTTTCAGGTGCTCATTCGTGGGTACCAGCAAGATAACTGGGGTAGTAATCGTGAATCACTCTGCTGTTGTCATTAAAGCAGGACTCTTAAGGCTCTCCACGGGGCAGTGCTTGCTGACTTGTATTTTTAATCGATAGATGCTCTAATTCTGGCTCATTGCTAATTCTTTGCTTACCCAATTAATCCAAATTAGTGTGGCTTAATTTGGAGGAAAGTGTGCTAAACTCAGGTCCTAGTAGAAACTGCCCCCAGGCTCACAGCTGGTTGCTCTGGGCGGAATGAGGTAAGTAAGTGCTGGACAGCTTCTGAGGCCCCCTCTTTCCTGACACCATGGAAGGAGGATGAGGGGCAGGGGTGAGTCAGGGAGAGTGGCAGGGGAAAGATTTGCTGAACCTACGGACTTAATTTTTTTCTTTTTTAAACCAGGAATTATTAGCCGAGAAGATGCAGAAGATCTCCTCGAGAACATGACGGAGGGAGCATTTTTGGTCCGGGTCAGTCAGAAAATCTGGGGCTACACCCTCTCCTATCGCCTGCAGAAAGGGTTCAAGCACTTTCTTGTGGACGCCTCTGGGGACTTTTACAGCTTCCTGGGAGTGGACCCCAATCGCCACGCAACACTCACCGATCTCATTGATTTCCACAAGGTATCCTTCACAGGGCTGCTGGTCAAGAGATAGGACTGGGAGAAACTTGAGGTGAAGGAGCACCAGGCTGCAGGTATTCTGAGAGATGGGGTGGAGAGAGAGCAGGCAGCCCCAGAAGGTCCGCAGGATCAGAGGGATATGGGACATCGTGGTGGAAGAGAGCAGAGATGGTCTAGACAGGCTCTGGGGCCCGCTGTTCTTCTCTCTGGCTTACCCTCTGACTAATGCAGGCCCGTCCAGCCCTGGTCCCTAAGCCTCTCCTCACCTCAAGTATCCGAGTTCTCCCTATGGTCAACACTTAGGGACTAGTTGATGCACCTTCTGTCCAAGCCCGCAGCTTACCTGCAACACATCCCCAGGATGTCCTGCTTGAGGACGTTCTAGCCAGGCCTCTGGCAGCTTTGTAGAGGTAGCTGAAGCCTAGCTGTCAACCCTGTGCCTTGAAAAGCTTTTCTAGTAGAGTTACCATGCCTCTTGTTCCAACTACAAGGATATGTACGTGTGTGGTACATGTGTGACTTTGGGCAGGTTCCTTAGTCTCACTGAACTTTACCATCCTAACCAGGCAAATGGATGTAAATAATCGTTCAGATCCCATGACTGTTAAATGAGGCAATGTCCGTTACAGCACCTTGTGAAGTGGTGTGGAAGTTCTTGTTTTCCGGAACTCTCTTTGTTATTTGTCCCCCTACTGTAGACCTCTCATGAGGAAAGATGTTGCCTTCCAAACAATATATGCAGAAAGAAGCAACTTTTGTGTTAATGTGACTGTCAGCACAGTAGTAACTGGGAGAAAGCCAAAGATGGAACTTGGTGAGCCACAAGGGTGGGAGAGGGATTCCGAGAGACAGAGTCATGGTCGCTCCCCATCTACCTGAGCTTTGCAGCTGTAGCAAGGTTCACAGACTCACATCTCACTGGGTTTTTGCTGTAGTAGGAACTCTTGGATTGGTTTTGTTTTTTCTTCATGGATGTCCCCAGGGCTCTAGGGACAGCTCTTGACTTGACCTTCTAAGTAAAGCACATAGAAAATTACCTATTTACAAATACCTAGACTCTGGGTGGACAGGACTCCTGGAAAACTGGACTAACGAGGTTCAGGGCAGTTTTCTACCCGTGTTGGGAAGAGCTTTCTAACAACTCTAGGAAAGAGAAAGGGAGGGCATGTGTGGTTATTGGCACCTTCTCTGTGTCAGGCATTATGCCGAGTGCTCTCCATCCATTTTCTCGCTTCCTCTTCATGATAGCTCCGTGAAGGAGGTAGACTAGTCCCATTTCACAGATCAGGAAACCAAAGCCAGGGAGCGTGAATAGCTTCCCTAAGTTTTCATGGCTGGCACCACGAGGTCCGAGAGTTAATCCTCAGGCCGTCTGCCTCTAAAGATCGTGCTTCTTCCTCTCTACCTTGATGTTTGGTTTCCCTGCCCACTATAAGCTGCTTTGAGCAGTGATGAGCTGCTTGTCCCAGGAAGTGTTCAAACCCAGGAAAAAAGTCCATCTCTCAGATATGCTATGCTATGGTTCCTGCATTGGAAGGTTAGAACAGATGTCTTTGAAGGTCTTTATTCTCTCCCAAATCTAGGGTTGGAGACTTCCAATGTAGTTTCTTACACTAAAGAGGGGGTTCATCTATGCCCATGTGGAGATCTGGTGGTCAGCGTGTATAAATTAAAGTTTTAATTACACAATTAATTTGTGATTACGTTCTAAGAATAATCAAGTACAATACAAGGTGAATGCCTTGTCCATTTCAAATCTCCATTTCCATCCGCCACCTTAAAGTATTAGTTTGCCATGTACCTATCCAAGTATTTCCCGGGCATTAACACAGAAATTTATGTACATAAGGAAGTACATAGTTTTGTTATTTTCCACATAAACCAGACAATTCTTTTTTTTCTAATTATAAATTTAATGCAATTCTCTACCCAACAAATATACCAATAGGATAGAGATTAAAAAAAGAAAAAGATAGGATTTTCCAGAAAAAACTGAAATACACCAGTTTAGCCAGGGAAATTCTAAAAAATAAGGATAGTGGGGTGAGATTAAACCGGACACTTCTTTACCAATAGCTCAGCAATTTGATTTTTTAGCAGGATCAATATAGCATATGGTGTATTTTTTCGAAGCATGGTCGCTGGAAGCGGGCTGCTAAATTTTAAATCCCAACTTCATTACTGTGAGTGACTTTGGGCAAACTACTGAAATTTTTGTGCTTTAGTTTTCTCCTCAGTAAGATGGGTTTCAAAATAGCACTCGCCTCCTTAGGGTCCCTGGGAGGTTTCATTGAGATATCACTGTGTAAAGTGCTGAAACAGTACAGCTGACATTTGTAAGTTATCAGGACATTGGCTGTTACTGAAATGCTTGTATTGAGTACATGTACCAACCACATCCATACATGTGCCCCATGGTTTTTCATGATGGCCACTTACATAGCTTCCAGGTTTCCATGATCACAAACGGGGCCGCAGAGCTATGCTTGTCTATGTCCCTTTGGGCACAGGCGCAAGTATTTCTCTAGGATGGATCCATCGTACTGGAATTGCCGGATAGAAGATGACGCACATTTTAATTTGAAAAGATCTGCCAGATTGCCCTCCAAAAACATAGCGCCAATTTGTGCTTCTGCCAAAACTGGATGAGGCTGTTTCCCCACACTGTTGCCAACACTGGGGATTATCAGTCATTTTAATTTTTTCCCATCAGATGGGCAGATGCTCTATCTCACTGTTGTTTAGCTTGTATTTCTCCAATTACTACTGACACAAAGGATCTTTTCATATGTTTAATGGCCACTTGGATTTCTTCTGTGGATTGTTCGTTCCTGTCCTTTGTCCATTTTCTACTTAGATGTCTCCTTTCTTACTGACTTGTCAGTTCTTCCAGCAATTAAATTGAGCTTTAGTTATGTGTATTCTGCTTCTCAGGTCTTCTTTTGAAATTTTTATTTTTATTTAATGGGCACTCTTTTCATTTGCAGGTTCTTTAACTAAAAAAAATAGCCCATTTTTTTTAAGATTTATTTATTTATTTTGAGGGAGAGAGAGAGAGAGAGCACGAGTTGGGGGTGCAGAGGGAGAGGGAGAGAGAATCCCAAGCAGAGCCCGCGCTGAGTGTGGAGCCTGACGCGGGGCTCAATCTCGCAATCCTGAGATCATGATCTGAGCTGAAACCAAGAGACCGATGCTTAATGGGCTGCACCACCTAGATGCCCCATAAATAATAGCCCATTCTTATTTCATGAATGATTTATCTTCTTATTCCACTGAGGAGATGAATACCCATCCCTGAAAAGCTCTTTCAGTTTGTTTTATAAACTTGATATTTTCTTGAGGGTCAGTTCTATTGTTGAGTTGGCATCTTTCTTTTATGGGTATGATTTTCCTTAAGTATGTATACATTTTGAGTTATGAGGTGGTGTCTGAACTTTGAATTTCCTGTTTATCCATCAATGGATACAGTCCCTGTTTCCTGAATCCATTCTCTCCATGCTGTAAGGGTTGGAGTTGACAGCCCAGAAGACAGCTCATCTTTTGGGCAAGGGAATGTCTGAGCTTTTGTGGACTCTTTGGCCTCCCAACGAAGGGCAGTGCCTCTCCTCACTTCCCATCTGCCCGAGGCAAAGACCTCTACCATCTAGGCTCCCCAGCCTGTCCCTCTGATACTTGCTCCAGCCCCTGCCTCACCTTCACTCCTCTGACAATCTCATCCTGTAGGTCTTTTGGTTTTCAAGTATTCTTTAACATTTGGCTTTGTTGATGGCCTTCCTTCTTATTTTCCCGTATTGGATTTATTTCAGTTTTCCCAATATGGCTCTATTTCTTTTTTAAGAGCAGATTTTTTTTCTGTCATTTCTATAAATTTGAGTGAGGAGGAGGCAGATACATATTCATAGACTTTCTATCTTGAACTGGCCTCTCTCTGGTAGATGTTTATTTCCCTTGCTTGGTTATAAGTAATTCTTCCTTTTTGTTTTTCCTTTTAGGAGGAAATTATCACTGTTTCAGGGGGAGAGCTGCTGCAGGAACCCTGTGGACAGAGGGACAGCCCACCAGACTACCATCTGTTGTTTGAATGATTCCCCCCCCCCCTTATCAATTGGACTTCTTTGGGCATCCATTTTTTGAACTCAACTTAAGAACTTCCCAGCTCAAATCCTTATGGCCTTCTGGAAGATCTACCACCATCCAGAGGATTCAGTAGATTAGTATGTCTCAAGGGATATGAAATATATGTGCTATTGGTCCCCATCCCAATGCCCAGGACAGAAATTGCTAATAGGTGATGCAATTCTTTCATGAAGAGTTTAGTTATGACTTCATGAAGCCTATTTTCCTTGGCCCCCCTAAGCTGAGCCCCTAGAGCACATGGGTCATGTTTTAATAATCCAAAATAATTCCAGTGCCGAACTCTGAATTTAACCTATGGTAGACATTTAATAAATGTTTGTTGAATGAATGCAATTCTTCTGAATGTCTTCAAACACTAATCAGCAATGTTTTCTAGTAAGTTATTTCCTACCTTTTCTGTCTATAAAGTCATGGAGAGTATAGAAGAAATACTGCAAAGGATTTATATGGAAAATATAGATGCTGCATCTTTAATGATGTACATTATTGCCCTCATTGATTTTATCATTGGAATAATTACCTAAGGCTTCTGAGACCCAGGTTCCAGAATAGGTGGCTGATACTGCCCTGCTTTCTTTATTTGCCTCTTCTTCTGCCACCCATCCTTGGTCTTGGAAGCATATCTTTTTTTTTTTAATAATTTTTTATTGTTATGTTAATCACCATACATTACATCATTAGTTTTTGATGTAGTGTTCCATGATTCCTTGTTTGTGCATAACACCCAGTGCTCCACGCAGAATGTGCCCTCTTTAATACCCATCACCAGGCTAACCCATCCCCCCA